TTCCCCCGTATAAAAATTGAATCTTGGGCCAGCAGGTAGCTCAGTAGTTATCTGCTAGCAAGGCAGAGGGCTTGAGTTCAATCCCCAAGACCCACACAGTAGGAGAGCCAACTCCTATGAGTTGTCTTCTAAAACCATAACAGGTGTCTTTATTCACACATAATAAATAAATGCAAAAATGTGACTATATTCATTAAAGTCACTGTTCCTTTGTACCTCCATACTGTTTCCTTAAACATGAAATTTACTAGTTTCTAATATGCTACCTATGGGCCTCTGAACAAAAGATGGACAGAACTACCAAGTATATTGCCTTAGTTTGCTTTTGATTGCTGGGATAAAGACATCGTAATTAAAAGCAACTTGGGGAGGAAAGGGTTTATTTGGCTTACACTTCCCCATCATAGTCCATTATTCAGGGAAGTTAAGAAAGGAACACAAGTAGAACAGGAATCTGGAGGCAGAAAATTAAGTAGAGACCACAGAGGGACCTAATTACTGGCTTGCTCCTCATGGCTTGCTCTTCATGGCTGGCTCAGTATGCTTTTTTATGCTTTGGAGGGCCATATGTCCAGGGATGGAATTGCCCACACAGTTCCCTGGACCCTCTTCTTATCAATCAGCAACCAAGAATATGCCCCACAGGCAATATGATTGAGGTATTTTTTCAATTGAGGTTTTTCTTCCCATTTAACCACAATCTATGTCACAGTGATAAAAAACAAACAAACAAACAAACAGCAGGACATATATATCCAGTAAATATTATAATCATAATCAACAACCTAATGAAAATCTTAATGGCCTCCAAATGGACTAGAATTATTTCATCACTTGAGTCCAAAAAAAAAAAAAAAAAAAGTTAAAGTAGCCTATCACAATAAAGCTAAACCATTTCTTTATAAATCATTTAAAATGCAATTTTTATCTTTTGTTCACAAATACCTTTAAAATAAATCCACAACTCATTCCTACATCAGAAGGGTCCATAAACAATGATTAACTGAAACCCAAAAGTCTTACTAAGAGAGTCTCTACTCCTTACCTAGGATGGATGGGTCCTTAGTCTAAGTGAAGGCCATTTTGGACACAGTCGTGTCTAGGAATCTGAGTCACACACTAATTATTTAGTACTAGTGAGAAAAACATCAGACAGGCTGACATCTGACAGAACTATAGTTTGGCAAAATCTGTTAAGATGATGGTTACAATGATATGTGGGCTGCATGTACGGTGATTACTCTTCCTTTGGTCTCTGCTACTTGTGGGTCAGATTTGTTTTCATGGCTGTAGGTCTGTCTGATACATACACACACACTTCATGTATGTTTGGCTACATATATGAATATGAATATACAACACATTCATATAGGATATGAATATGCTATGATCTTTATTCATAAGTCTTATACAAAGTTGTACTAAATAGAAAAGATTAAGAAAGGAGCTGGGTGGTGGTGGCACATGCCTTTATTTCCAGCACTCGGGAGGCAGAGGCAGGTGGATCTCTGTGAGTTCGAGGCCAGCCTGGTCTACAAAGATACACAGAGAAACCCAGTGGGGGAGGGGGATTAAAAAAAGAAAAAGAAAAGAAGAAAAACCAGTAGTTAACAAAATCTAGCCAAAGAACAAAAGAGTAAGATTCTGGAAGCCAAAATACCTACATAAAGCAAGAATGAATGAACAAAAACCAGCACATTTTTAATCAGCATTTTTAAGACTGATCTATAAATGTTCATCATCTTATGGAGTTGAGAAGTACAGCAACTCCTATTTAAGAAAAATAACATTCTACAATAAATTTATAATTTCCAAGAGAAAGAACCCAAGTTTAAAAACAACAGAAAAGCTGCAGTAGATGAACCCAAGGGTAAACCTGTTTTTGATAGAAACAAGGTAGCCAACTAAAATTTGAAACTACACACAGAACTAATAATACAGAAAAACTCAAAAAGAACAAATTAATATACAATATACAATAAATGAAGTGAGCAAGAATACCCACCAACACTTAGTATAACATTGCCAGAGTAGAAGAATGAGGTCTTTGTTACAATTCTTGTTACAACTTAGAAAAATAAAGATATTAAGTTTCTACTTGGCTAGAAGATGAAATGCACCCAGCAGTGCAAATGAAGCCTCTGGAAAAGCATTCAACACATTGCTATGGGCTCCTTTCCTTGATGCACTTTCCTCACTAAACCGTGTTCCCTATGCCGTGCACAGAACTAGCAGCAGATTGTTTAAAAACAGCTTGCATTTTCAACTTCCCGTAATAGAGGCCACATTTTTTTAGATGATCAGACTAAAATAAATATGTCTTTACAGTTAAACAGGATAAAATTTTAAGCTGGACAGGCACCAATGCCCTGGTTCTCTACTCTTTTTCGTAAAGCATATGACTTTCACATGCTGAGAATGTTTTATGCTTTAGCCTGCAGTAAAGGCTTTACATCATTTTAATGCCCCAGTGCTCAAAAAGCAACAGAATCAGCCTGAATGCAAAGAATATTTGGTGTACATGGAGCCCTTTTTTTAACCAGACTACTGGTCAGAAAAAGTTTAACAAATGCTTTTCCCATAAATAACTTCACATACCCATTGATGAAAATAAACAAAAAAGAGGATTTGAAGAAAGGGTAGATTAAAAAAAAAAAACAACAACAAAAAAAAAAAAAAAAAAAAAAAAAAAACCAACTCATTATTTACCTAGATTGGAATGTTTCAGTTTGTCATATCTAAAATGATTATTAGTTTAAAAAATCCATGACTATTAGAATACATTTCAGAAAAACACAAGTAAGCAACTATCATATTGTCACATGAAAATTTCTTTCGGTTTTTGAAAATTAATGTCTCAGGTTTGGACTTAAAACAAGTGATTCTGAAAAATCCCCGTCTTCAACAAACCAAAGGCTCAGCTTGACTTAGCACATTCAGTATATGAAATTCTATTCTGGTCAATTTAAATAGATAATGCTCAACTTCATGCCAACAGTCCCCCTATCTGTGTGAACGATCAACAGCAAAAATTTCAAAACAAAGGCTAAAACCTACCATAAAATCCCAGTGTATCTATGTTACTTCCAGATGCTATGGAATTTAAAAACCCCTTCCTGATAGGTGAAACATTCAAGAAATGATACATTTTGACCAAATATATATTAAATTCTCAAGTCGAAATAGATATGATACTAATTACTCTTTTGGTTATTTAAAAGTCTGTGATACAACAAAATTAACACAGTTACTGAAGAAGTTGTATTTTGTGGACTGAGGGAGTACAAAATGTATGATCTTAAATTCTCTTGGTGTAAGGTCATTAAATATTCAAGACTGTGAGAAACAAGATGTTTCATTCCAACTCTAATTTAAAACTGAACAATAAAATCAGATTTCCTAAATTTGACTTATACGCATAATTCAACCAGATCTAGAACTTAGTTGAGTAATTTTAATAAGTTTAATGCAAAGCACTAGAAACCTGATGCGATAATTACTTGTGGCATAAATGCAAAATAAGAACAAATTCGGGTCCTTTTCACTTAATGATTCATTTTATAGTGAAACCACAAAAAGCACAACCCATATTAGCACAAACTAAGAAGAAAAAAATAACAGGAGGTATTATGTCTCCAGCAGGAAAAAAAAAAAAAATGTTCTGTGCCAAGGAAGGAAGGAAGGAGGGGGAGGAGGAAGGAAGGGAAGAAAAGATAGGAAAGCAGTAGGCGAAGATTTCCATTATCTGTAGGTCCCCAGAAAAAAAGAGGACGCGTCTGTACCCTATACAACACACAATGTCTTCTTTAAACTCATCAGACAAAATAGAAATCACTTTTATCATTCAACTTTACACGGCATGCTAAGTGAATTCTTTGCCTCACTCACCCAATGCTTCCTCACTCTTCATACGAATTTTCAAGCAAACGTGAGACAGAACAGGGCGGGGTAGAAGAAAAATACATGCAGCGCCTTCCAGCACACCACCAACCCTCTTCCCCGAAAATAATTTCCAACAGTTTTTTCAACTACGAAAATAAGTCGCCCTATCTACCTCAGAGCACACAGCAGACATTCTGTCTCATTAGTGGACACAGATGCATATACCATTTAGCACTCCAGACTCCCAACCCCACGTCCCCGAATTATAAATAACTGGCAAGTCACTGAGCATGAAGATGACAAGATACCTTTACTTACTGTTTCGGGGTTAAGGTGCGCAGAGGACTCCTTTCAAAGTAGCCCCAATAGTGTAACCAAAACACGGTTCCGGAATAAAATAATAAGAGACACTTTTCCTTTCCCACCTTTAGCTGCCGACTTGAGGAGGCAAAATGCATCTCCAAATCACATCATCTGTACAGACCTGCTGCGGGGAGTTTGGGGTGGAGATCGGCCCTGAGGAGGGCACGGAGAGTGAACTAGCCACCAGACACCAACGAGCTGCCGAACCCCCAAAACCCTGCACAAGGTCCACAGAGCAAAAGTCCAGCCCGGGACTCACGCAGCTTCCCAAGCCCAGGCCGCTTATCTTCGACTCCAGCTATCTAACTTACCATCCACAGACATTCCTTCAAGACGAGCCCAGCACCCAAGTACACGTCACAGTTTAAAACAGCGAGACGCTCCCCAAACAAACCAGCACACCTCGAAAGCACCTCACAGTTTCTCAAACTCGCAAGGAGGAAGACCCCACCTCCAGAATTCAAACCTTCCGCCGGTCCTGGAGACCAGAGAGAAGTTAGGGAGCCGTCGTCGCCTCTCTGCGCCCGCCCCTCACAAACTGCCCCACCCCATAGCCCGCGCACCGCTGCCCCCTCGGGAGCCCCCTCCCTCCCCCACTTACTCCCCCCCCCCACGCAGCCACTCCAGAGACCCATCTGTGGCGCCTACTCACTTTCTCTGCCCCCAAACCCCTCCAAACATCTTCCCCCGTAAAGTAACGAAAGAAGTGAGGAAAGAGACTTCAGGCAGTCCGGATCGCAAACGACCCCACTCACCTCGGAAACCCAGCTGAGTTCTCTGCACCCGGGCTCAGCCCCCTCCCCAGCGTCCCAGAGTAAGGCTGAGGGAGGGAGGAGGAGAATGGGAGGGGGAGGGGATCTTCACCGCGGGGCGCCCAGCGGGAGGGGCTGAGGGCTCCAGGCCCGCGCAGAAAGAGCAGAGGGGGGAGGGTAGCTCCCTATCTCCCAGTCTCCCCCTGAAAACCTCGCTTGTCTCAATCACATCAGACTGACTGTCTTTGTCTAGCTGACAACCGCCATATTGATAGCAACAGCCCCGCTCCCACCTGCTGCCGCCGGGCATCCCTGGGAGTTGTAGTTTCCGGCTCCCTAGAGGAAAGGAGCAGAGCTTGGGGTCTGAGGCCCTAGGGAACTACAGCTTCCAGCAGGCACTGCGCCCATACGCCTTCCCACAGGGAGGAGGGGAGCCGGGAACTGGAGCCGTGCGGACTACATATCCCAGAATGACATGGATTCCAGACCGGGATGGGGGTGGGGGGGTCATGATATCATTCTGGGATGGAAAGGTAGGATGAATTGGCGGTGGCGAAGAATTTAAGCGGACAGAAGGAGGAGTTTACAGAGAAAAAGGAGGAAAAGGAAAGACGCTCACAGTTCCCATAATGCCTGCAGTAAAACTACATTTCCCGTGATGCTCCGGAAAGTGCGTGAGAACGGAAAACTCCAAGTCCCGCGATGCTCTCGGCGACGGAGATTGAGCCGGAAAACGCTTCCTTGCTTGAGAAGTGGAGAGATTGGTACTGAACAACCAAAACTCCGATATGAAACTGGTGAGTTTCCGCTCCTAAGACAGTGGCCAAAGGTATCGCTTTGGACTCTGTGACCTCCGTCCTGACTTGTCGCGGAGATAGGTCAGCAGTTAGAAAACTAAGTGAGGTGGACTGTGGCAAGCTGGATTTTGCAGTTGAGATTTGAATTCCCTCTTGCATACACTCCACACTCCCTGCACCTGTCAGGATGTCTTTCGTTACTGTTTGGTAGGTCCTTTTGGCCAAATATGAAGTTAAATGCTACATTTCTTCATGCTCGAGCAAAGAATGAACTCTAAAACTTTGGTTTGGTCGTGTTTCTCAGCTCCCACCTGAAAGTTATAATAGGTCATCCGCCTCTTTCCACTTGATGAGCTCTTAAGTGGATTCCCTACTGATGTTGCAAAGCCGGACTCAGTCATTATTCATTAAATGTCCTGTTACTCCTTACTGCCTTTCGAATTAGGAAAAAGCGGTGCTAGAGGGTGCTCGTGAAGGATTGAAGCATTCCAGTTTCGGGCCTGTGTGAAATAAACAGCTCTAGATGGAACAGCTTTCTGGAGAAGTGACAAAGCTCAAACACTTGGAGTTAGGCAGACTTCTCAGATCTTTGTTTTACTGAGCACACCGTTCTAACAGTTTTGGTCGGTTCTGTTTGAGAAGGAAGTGGTGTGCAAATGTGTGTTCCAGAAGAACTGTTATGAGGTATTAGGGTATCAGAGTTTATGGTGTTTTCTTTGTTTTTTGTTTTGTATTTGTTTGTTTTTTTTTGTTTTGTTTTGTTTTTTGGGGGGGGGCTTTACTCATAAAATCCTCTTGGTTGATTTATATGCAAGGTTAAAATGGAAAGGAACAAATGAAAAATTAGCCTTTTCCTTTCAGAATCAAAAGCTGACACCAGGAAAAGGAAGCATTCTAGTTAACAATCCCTCTCCGTTTTCAAACCAAGTATAGATCCCATACTTAATCTAATAGTTGAAAGATAAGTGATCTTAATGCAGAATTACTGTCCATACACCATAGTGGCTTCAAAAAGTTTCTCAATAGGTTAAATTTGTGTGCTGTGCCTACCAAAGGGTTTTAATAAAATTCCCGTATCTTTAAGTTTTAACTCTGTGCACTGCTTTAGGAATGTGGAGTTAGCTGTGGTATGTATGTATGTGTGTATACTTTAGAGGCTAGGGAGGTAAGCCAATGGCAGCAGGCTTGTCTAGAATGCATGATGCATTCATTGGGTTTGATTTTCAGCACGGGGATAATGAGTTACATCATGAAATGTGTTATTCAACAAATTCATGTTTTTGAGTTGAGACTTCCCAAAGTGCTTCCCCACCACCACCACATGGCTCATGGGGTATAGCCATATCTCTCATTGATTCTTTTCCCTTAATATGATGCTGTTCCCTTAATGAAAATTTTTTGAGTAGGTCTGTTTTTCTGCCTTCCACTAATACTGCTTTTGAAGTGGTTTGTTTCACTTGCCACTTGGAATTCAATAAGACCTTCTGTCCTGGTTCGTCTTTTAATCTGGGAAGAGGGCCCTCAGTTGAAGAAATTCCTGATGAATGATTGATGTGGATGGGCACAGCCCACAGTTGTGGTGTTATCCCTGTGCAGATAGATATTCCTGAAGGTGGTAAGAAAGCAAGCTCAGCAAGGAGAGCAAGTAGTAAGTTATTACTCTGTAGCCTCTATTTTAGTTCCTGCCTCTAGGGTCCTGTTTGAATTCCTGCCCTGACTTCCCTGTATGATGGACTGTGATCAAATGTGTAAGACAATTAAACCCTTTCCTTTCTTTTGGCATGGTGGGTGTATTGTTTGTGTTTGTTTGTCTTCTCAAGGCAGGATATGTCTGCATAGCTCTGGCTATCCTGGAACTAGCTCTGTAGACCAGGCTGGCCTTAAACTCACAGAGATTCTCCTGCCTCCCAAGCGCTGGGACTAAAGGCGTGCCCCACCACTGACTGGCGTTTTGTCTTATTTTTGAGACAGGGTCTCACTATATAGCTATGGCTGTCTTGGTACTCGCTCTATAGACCAGGCTAGCTTCACAGAAATCCACCTGCCTCTTCCCTCCCAACTGCTAGGATTAAAGGTGTACGCCACTACATTTAGCAAACTAGAACACCTTCTAAACCACCTCCCTACAGTCAGAAGAGTCTATTCTCTCCTGAGGAATCTGGACATTATTATTCAATAGCAGAAGCCTATATGAACCACCTTATTAGCTTTTTTTTTTTTTGCCCTTCAGAATCTTTAACTTGGTTGACTCTGCCCTGGAGAATATGGTCCTGCTTATATCTCTACATGTAGTCTAACCTTCGCCATTGATGTCTTCATTCAGATCATGTAGGTCATTTTCTAGTTCTTTGAGTCTACTGTTTTGTCTCTAGGAATTTAAGTATGTTCAATTGCCTATTTTGTCTTTTCTTATATAATATCTTCACATATTTCAGGACACTGTTTGAATAACAGTTTTTCAAAAGTTTCTTAAATCAGACCACCCTGATACGTGTTTTCATAGCATACCTCTTGTTTGTTGGACTTACAGTTATTTCTTTCTGTTTGCCCCTACCCCCCCCCCGTCCCAATGTAGACATAATATTCACAGAGACTTAAGACATAGTTGACTTTACTGCTACATGAATAATTTCCAAAAGGCTGTCAAGGTCTGTGCGAATGCTGGGAAGGGACCAAAGGGTGTATTTGAGATCATAATAAACAATAACCTGAGTTAAAATAATAATCTGGTTCTACTGTCTAAAGAGGGTATTTTTATTTTGTGTGTGTGTGGGGGGGTGTTTTTTGCTAAGTCTGCACACCAGGTGTGTGCAGTCCTCATAGAGGCCAGAAGAGGGCAGTGGATCCCCTGGAGCTGGAGCTACAGGTGGTTGTGATGCAACTCATGGGTTCTGGGAATTCAACCCAGGTCCTCTGCAAGAGTAGGAAGTGCTATTAACCCCTGAGCCACTCTCCAGCCCTGATTGATGCCTGCCAGGCAGTGCACTAAGTGTTGGCACAATAATGTGAATTTCTGGGAATTGAAGGAAGAGACTCCAAGTTAAATTAAAAGTGAAAGAGCAGGGTCTGAACCCATGGATCCCTGCCTAAGAGTCCACTGCTCAATGGGGACAGAGTTAGAAACACCTTTCCCAATGGCATCACAGTGCTACATCAACTCTTGAAGTATAAACTGAGATACATTAAATTTAGATTGGAGTTTGTTTAGGCTTCAGCCTTTTAAAACATTATTGATGTTGAGTATGGTAGCACACATCTGTAATCCTGTAATGCAAAGGTGGAGGCAGAGGGATCTCAAGTTCCAGAGCAGCCTGAGATGGTAAGATGCCATCTTAAAAACTTATTTGAAAACCAATGAAGTTTTTAAAGCCTCCTTTGTAAACCAGGCAGTGAGTGTCTTTAATCCCAGCACTTGGGAAGCAGAGACAGATGGATCTCTATGAGTTTGAGGCCAACCTGGTCTACAGATCAAGTTCATGGGCAGCCAGGGCTACACAGAAAAACCCTGTCTCAAAAACAAACAAGATCTCCTTTGTAATCTAACAGGCCCCATGTCATACCAACTGAATGAAACTTGTATTCTTTTGGTTTTGTTTTTCTTTTGAAACAGGACCTCTGAAGCCCTTGCTGGCCTGGGACTCACTACCTGGCTCAGCTGACCTTAGTCCTCCTGCTTTCAGCCTTCTGGAGCTGGGATGGAGGGTGTCAGCTGACACAAGCTTAGTTGGCTTATTATTTGTTTTTTGTGTGTTTAAGTAGCTTCTATGACAGGATCTGTAGTTTCCTAACCTTGCACATCACTTTCTTTTTCTACATCTTTATTTGTGTTTATGTAGATGAGTGTTTCTGCTTATCTGTATATGCACCATGTGTATTCAGGATCCCACAGAATCCAGAAGAGGATGCTGGACCCTCTGGAATTCATTATAAGCCACCCAATGTGGGTGCTGGGAACCAAACCCCAGGCCTTTTCAAGAGCAGCAAGTGCCCTTAACCACTAAGTCATCTCTCCAGCCTCTTGCACATTACTTTCTTTGTAAAAATGTATTTTATTATTTTGTGTGCATGAGTGAATTCCCCCATACATGTCTGTGCACCATGGGCCTGCCTGGTGCTGAGTAGGACAGAAGAGGGTGTTGAGTCCCCAGGAACTGAGTTTACAGACAGTTGTGAGCTGTCATGGTGCTAGGAGTCAAACCCAGGTCAGGTCTTCTGGAAGAGCAACAGTGCTCTAACCATTGAACCATCTTTCCAGCTCCTTGCACACCCACACTTAAGATACTGAGTGTGATTATAATATCTGAAGAGTTCCTAGTTAGATACTAACTCGAAGGATGTAATGACTGCCAATATTTGTAATGTTATACTTTATTCTGGCAGCTTTGTTTAACAAGATAAATTCATTGGAATTTCTAACTAATCATTTTAGGAAAGATGAGGAAAATTGGAAATATATCTTCTAAATTGACACATTTTAAAGTGCAGTTACTTTTTAGTATAGGTTGAGTCTAATGGGTACACCCTAGTGGTCAGTTCAGCTAATGATGGGAAGAAGTCACCAAAATCTTTAGCAAATGGCCATAAATATACTGAGCAAACTGATATCAAGTGAGCTTGAAGCTCAGTGACCAGGCATCTAGTCATTCAAGTAAGTGAAGATGAAAGTGAATGAACGTGTATGAGGTTCAGGAATGCAGGATCCTTCTGAGATAGTCCCAGCGACGGGCAGATTCTTCCAGCTTACCCAGTCCACAGACATTTATTATGCAGCCACAAATACCCTTAGCATTCAAAGTTTCAACACATTCTATTTTAACTATTACATTTGACCCCAAAGAGCTGTGCTTGGAATTAACTTACTATTTTGCTGAAACACAAACTTGAATGTCACTTTGGGATTAATGGTACTCTTGTGAGTGAGGCATCTTGGCTCTTGACAGCTATTGTCACTTTCTCGTTAAAGACCTGAAAGGAAAGTCATTTTGCTGTCCATTACTCTG